ATTCAATCTATATGCTGAGCAAATAATCCGAGAAGCTGGACTATATGAAGAACATGGCATCAAGATTGGAGGAAGAATCATTAACAACCTGCGATACACTGATGACACAACTTTGCTTGCTGCAAGTGAGGATGACTTGAGGCACTTACTGATGAAGATTGAAGAATACAGTCTGCAGTATGGATTACACTCAATATAAAGAAAACAAAAATCCTCACAACTGGATCTATAAGAAGCATCACAATAAATGGAGAAAAGATTGAGGTTGTCAAGGATCTCACATTGCTTGATTCTACAATTGACATCAATGAAAGCAGCAGTCAGGACATCAGATGATGTATAGCACTGGGCAAGTCAGCTGCAAAGGACCTCTTTCAAGTGCTGAGAAGCAAGGATGTCTCTTTGTGGACTAAGGTGCACCTGACACAAGTCATGATATTTTCAATTACCTTACATGCGTGTGAGAGCTGGACAATGAATAAGGAAGACTAAAGAAGAGTTGATGCTTTGGAGTTGTGGTGCTGGCAAAGAATACTGAAAGTACCATGGGCTGCTAAAAGAACTAACACATCTGTCCAGGAAGAAGTGCAGCCAAAATGCTCCTTGAAAGCAAGAATGGCCAGTCTTTATCTCACCTACTTTGGTCATGTTGTCAGAAGGGACCATTCCCTGGAGAAAGATGTTATGCTAGGTAAGGTGGAGGGTTGACAAAAGAGAGGAAGGCCTTCAATGAGATGGATTGACACAGTGGCGGCAATGATGGGCTCAAGTATAGTAAAGATCATGGAGCTGGTGTGGGATCGGGTGGTGTTTCATTCTGTTGTGCATGGGGTCACTATGAGTCATAAATGACTCGACGGCACCTAATAACAACATCTGTGTAAAGAGGTAATGGAGAAGCTCAATATGTATGGCCAAAACAAGGCCAGGAGGCCAGGAGGCCAGGAGCTGACTGTGGAAGATCATCAACTGTTCACATACAAGTTCAAGTTGAAGCTGAAGACAATTAAAATAAGTCCACAAGAGCCAAAATATGATCTTGATTATGTCCTACCCGAATTTAGAGACTATCTAAAGAATAGATTTGATGCATTGAACACTAATGACTGAAAACCAGATGAATTATGAGATGACATAAAAAAAAAAATCATACATGGAGAAAGCAAGAGGTCATTAAAAAGACAGGAAATGAAGCAAACAATGGATGCCAGAAGAGACTCTGAAACCTGCTCTTGAAGGGACAGTAACTAAGGCAAATGGAAGAAATGACAAGATAAAAGAGCTGAACAGAGGATTTCAAAAAGAAGCTTGAGAAGACAGTCAACTACTATAATGAAATGTGCAAAGCCCTGGAGTTAGAAAACCAAAAGGGAAAAACATACTTGGCATTTCTCAAGCTGAAAGAACTGAAGAAAAAGTCAAACCTCGAGTTGCAATATTGAAAGAGTCCATGGGAAAAATACTGAATGATGCAGGAAGCATCAAAAAAAGATGGAAGGAATACACAGAATCACTGTCCCAAAAAGAATTGGTCAATATTAATCCATTTCAGGGGTGGCAGGTGATCAAGAATCAATGGTATTGAAGGAAGAAGTTAAAGCTGCATTGAAGGAAGTGGTGAAAAACAAGGCTCCAGGAATTGACGTGATACCCATTCAGATGTTTCAACAAACAGATGCCTGGAGGCACTCACTTGGCTGTGCTAGAAGATTTGGAAGACAGCTACCTGGCCAACTGACTGGAAGAGACCCATATTTGTGTCCATTCCAAAGAAGGGTGAGACCACAGAATGTGGAAATTATCAAACAATATCATTAATATTGCACACAAGTAAAATCTTACTGAGGATTATTTAAAAAATGGTTGCAGCAGTATATTCACAGAGAACTTCCAGAAATGCAAGGAGGATGTGGAACGAGGGATATCATTATTGATGTCAGATTGATCTTGGCTCAAAGTAAAGAATACCAGAAAGATGTTTATATGTGTTTTATTGACTATGCAAAAGCATTTTATTATGTGGATCATAACAAATTGTGGATAACATTGAGAAGAATGGGAATTCCAGAACACTTAATTGTACTCATGAGGAACCTGTACATAGACCAGGAGGCTGTCATTTGAACAGAGTGAGAGGATACTGCATGGTTTAAATTCAGGAAGGGAGTGTGTCAGGGTTGTATTCTTTTACCATATTTACTCAATCTCTATGTTGGGCAAATATGGATTATATGAAGAAGAATGTGGCATCAGGATTGGAGGAAGAATCATCAACAACCCATGATATACTGATGACACAACTTTTATGTCATAAATTAGGGCCCCTAAATTTGCCTCTAGTATTTCCTTGAGGAACTTTATAGTTTTAGGTTTCACATTTAAGTCTTTGATCCATTTGGAGTTACTTTTTGTGTATGGTGTGAGGTACAGATCTTGTTTCATTTTTCTGCAAATGGATATCCAGTTTTGCTAGCACCATTTGTTAAACTGACAATCTCTTCCCATTTAATTGATTTTAGCCCTTTGTCAAAGATCAGCTGACCATAGGTCAATGGATCTATTTCTAAATTCTCAAGTCTATTCCATTGTTCTGTGTATCTGTCGTTGTACCAGTACCAGGCTGTTTTGACTACTGTGGCTATATAGCGGATTTTGAGAGCCAGGAGTGTGAGACCTCCTACTTTGTTCTTCTTCTTCAATAGTGGTTTGTGTATCCGAGGTCTCTTTCCATTCCATATAAAATTAGTGTTTGGTTTTACCACATTGTTAAAGAATGTTGATGGGATATGGATTGGGATTACATTGAATATGTAGATTGCTTTGGGTAGAGCTGACATTTTCAAAATGTTTGATCTTCTTATCTATGACCATGGTATGTTCTTCCATTTATGTAGATCTCTTATGGTTTCTTGAAGTAGTCTTTTGTAGTTTTCTTAGCATAGGTCTTTTATGTCCCTGGTAAGATTTATTCCCAAGTATCTTATTTTTTTTTCCGTAGTGATTGTAAATGGTATTGATTTCCTTATTTCTAGAAAAAACATGTTTGTTTTCATAAATACATATGTTTTTATAATCTTTAAAAAATGATATAAAGTTCTCTGAGTAGAGCAGATGGTCTGCACTTGGCTATTAACCCAAAGGTTACTGGTTCTAATCACCCAGCAGTACTGCAGAAGAACCAGGCCTGCTGATAGGCTTCTGTAAAGATTACAGCCAACCCCCTTCTTCATAGCTTGGGGAGTCTCTCCATATAAACACAAAAACAAACAAATGTCTCCAAAAGAGATGTATTTTTCTAAAACTCTTTTTGATTTCATTCAACAATTATATCTTGGAAATCTTTCCATAGTAGCAAATACCTCATTATTTAAATGTATCATAATTTATCTAACCAGGCTACTTTCAATAGATTCAAGTCATTTTCAGCTTTATGCTATGATAAATAGTCCTGTGAAGAACATCCTTAAGATAAATTTATTTAAATAGAATTTCCAAATTTCCCTCTAAGGGGTTGTATTAACATATACTCACACCAAGAGTATGTCAACATCTTCAGGTTTTAATGTTTACATAATATCATCATATTTCATCATGTGGCTGTACTATCGTTTACTATTCTCTTGAACTTGGATACTTATTTCAATAAAGCAAGTAAATAGGAAATAATAGTTGCCTACCTGCCACAATGTAGGCACTCTCATCTTAAGAAAAGAATCATATATATCCTCCAATTTTTGAGTGAGGACGACCTTTCCTTTTAAAGCAAGCTGAAGATTTTCCAAAGATTTATGTATGACAGACAATAACTTATCAAATCGTTCAATTTCTTGGCTCAAATAGGTTAGTAAGACACAATGGATAAGGAGATCATGGCCTAGATTAAAAAAAAAAAAAATAGAAAAAGAGATATAAATGTAAGAGTTCCACAGATAAAAGGAGGTTTTACATAGAGCAATATAGGCGTTGGAAATTAAAGGAATTTCATATACCTAGACTCTGGTAGTGTAGTGCCTAAGGCACTTGACTGCTAACCAGAAGGCTGGTGGTTCAAACCCATCAGCCACTCCTCGGAAGGAAGATGGGGCAATCTACTTCCGTGGTGATACTGCCTCGGAAACCCAAGGAGGGGTCGCTATGAGTTGGGGCCGACTCAACGGCACACAACAACAACAACAACAGGGATTGGAAAACATTTTCAGTAAAAAGCTGGATGGTAAGTATTTTAGGCTTTATGGGCCATATAGCTACTCAACTCTGCCTTTGTAGTGTGGATGTATTCAGACAATATGTAAATGAATGATCATGGCTATAATACAATAAAGCTTTATATATGGGCACTTGAATTTGAATTTCATATAATGCTCATGTGTCACAAAATATTATTATTCTTTTGATTTTTCTCAATCATTAAAAAATGTAAAATCCATTTTAGCTTGCAGGCTGTACAAAAACAAATGGTGGATTAGATTTGAGCCATGAACCCTGGTTTGTCAACTTTTGTCTAGACTTAACAATAGTGATATTTTGGTAGATCACAGCTCAACATTTGGTTCCAAAATGAATCTTTTCTTTATAGTGTTAGAATGTGGATACTGAAAATTTAACTGGGAAAATTACCATAGTCCAGCAATATAGCCTTTCAGAGCTGACCCAAGAACCAACTCTGGACAACCAGGCTTCCTATGTCTCTCTTGGGCCTACTATTATTCCTCTGAAGACCAACCCATCTAAATCTCACTGCCCAAAATGCTGTTCTAGAAGACAGAGAGACAGAGAATAGGGACCCAGAGATTCCTTAGACTCTTCCAAACAGAGTTGTTCCTTTTAGGTTTGCTATGTTTATTATTTCTTCATTTTTGGTCTGGATGCCATTCCAATCAAAATCATCTTCTTTGCACCCTACCTTACAATTTGGAGAAAGGCAGTGTAGAGTGATTTAGCTTTCTATCTGGTGTCAGTGTTTTCACTTCTGTGGTACTTTTGTCCTGTCTTTAATCTGTCTTCCTCCTGATGCCTCCCTGAGGAGGTTGGAGGAGGGAAGAAAGCTCATGTCCCATGCTCACCTTTGACATTTTGATTAAGAGACTTCCAAATGGGACTTGACATCACACTCTTTAATGTGTTTGTGTTTCCAGAACTTTCTTCTTTCTCTACTGTCAGTGGCAGCCGCTTCAGTATGTCAGATAAAATTTCCATCACTAGCTTATCATTACTCTGTTCACGACTGCAAAGGAAGTCAAAAGAATGAGAGTACAGACTGGTCTAATCCAGGAGAGCACTCTTTTTATGCCCTGTCTGAAGGTAAACAGCTTCACAGAACCACAAAACCATATATGGGAGTTCCTATAAAGACCATGGCTTCCATCTCTTTTTAAAGATAAGGAAACTGTTCAATACACATTAAACATTGTAAAAAAAAAAAATTTTAAATTTAAAATCTTAAAAGTTTTCTTCAGACTTCTTTTTATGGTGTACATCAATTGAATGCATCTGTATGCACGAAGTACCAAGATTGAAATTAAAAAAAAAAAAAAAAAGGAAGCAACTAGACAGAGCATGGTCAACTAGACTTATAGTTTGTCAATTGCCTGTCAAATTCCTCTGTGTTTACACAGAGTGTCCCATTGGTCACACACCCAGTGGGTAGTGATAAGACAATGTGGGTGTCTAGGTGTAATACAGGTCTGGGTGTAGTGTGATTTTTACAAAACAAAGCCATAAAATGCTAAAACCGGAAGAGCTCTTGGGATCATTTTAAAGATGAGAGATCTAGGGCCCAAAGAAGTGATAGGACCCCCTTAGACCATTAGTGGATGAGCAGAAAATGAGAAACGAGAGTTACCTCCTTCTGTTAGTCTATATGGAGCTCTGGTAGCATAGTGTCTAAGGCATTTGACTGTTAACCAGAAGCCTGGTGGTTCAAACCCACCAGCCACTTCTCAGAGGGAAGGTTGGGCAATCTATTTCCACAGTGATACTGCCTTGGAAACACAAGGAAGAATCTCTATGAGTCGGGTCCGACTCAACAGCACCTAACAACGTAACAATATAGTAGCGAGTACTGATTTTTCAACAGACACCACGGGCTTCACGTAGCCAAATGAATGTTATCCTTCAAAGTAAGTAATACTTATAGCTGTTGTTGTGTGCCATTGAGTTAATTCTAACTCATAGCAATCCTATACAACAGAGTGGAACTGCTCCATAGGGTTTCTCCTGTAATCTTTACAAGAGCTACAGCTATGTCTTTAGTCCAATAGTGCTGCTTCTGAGGCAGTTTACAAATCACATTACTTACTTTGTTGGTTGTCACAGTGTTTTGACTTTAAATCAAGGTTACTCCGTAGAACTCATCCATGTTGGTTTCAAATGATTCAAAATATCAAAATATTTCAAAACATCAAATTTACCTTTCAAGGCTAAAGATATGCTACCACTGAGGACATCAAATTGAATGTGATAGGATTTTTACCAAAGACAAGTTTCTAATATGCTTTGAGCAAGGTAAACAAGGCAGCATAACTGAAACAATCATGTTGTTGTGGTTGTTGTTGTTGTTATGTGCCGTGGAGTCAGACCCGACTCATAGCGACCCCTCCTTGGGTTTCCGAGGCAGTATCACTAAGGAAGTAGATTGCCCAACCTTCCTTCCGAGCAGTGGCTGGTAGGTTTGAACTGCCAGCCTTCTGGTTAGCAGTAAAATGCCTCAGGCACTACGCTACTAGAGCTCCTGAAACAATCATATCCTCCCAAAATGACCAAAGGGACAGAATGCATATTTGGTAGGCTTATTAAAAGCATTCCTTTATAATCATATCACCCCCTCAGTAGTATATTTGGCAAATGCTAGCAGTATAGAATTAATCTTAGAAGTTTAGGGCCAGAAGGAATTTCAATCTGATATTCTGGGGATAAACTGTGGGATTTCTAATTGGGTACTCTTCTTTCTTCATGTGTTTAACTTCCCTCATTTGTAGCAGATAGTTAGTAAATGTTCATTCAGTCAATGAAAAATTAAATTAGAGTTTATCTCTAATTTTTTTTTTTCAGTAACACAAATGCAACCATTGCCGTGGAGTCAGGTCAGACTCATAGCAACCTCTCCTTGGGTTTCTGAGGCGGTATCACTACAGAAGTAGATTGCCCAACCTTCCTTCTGAGGAGTGGCAGGGGATTTGAACAGCCAGGCTTCTGGTCAGCAGTGAAATGCCTTAGGCACTATGCCACCAGAGCTCCTTTTTTTTTCAGTAGAATAACTAATTCTGGCATTAACAAACATGACCTTATTTTACAGTCATAGGCCAAGGAGACCTGGGAATTTGGGTTATATGTGTTACTTCATTTGAACCTCACAATAGCCTAATGAGTACACAGTATCTTTATTTATGGATAAAGAACTAGTAGGAGGTACAATTAACATAGCCGTCCAAATGCAGGCATAGAACTTGACCACACTGTCCTCTTACTTATTATGATGGTTATCTTTTCCTACCCTATAGAAATGAATACGCACATTTCAAATTTAAACAAATTGAATTTTAAAATACCACTCATAAGTACAATTCAATCATTCACTCCACAAAGATTTATTTAATACATATTACGTTTATATATATAAATCAAAACCAAACTCACTGCCATCAAGTTGGTCCCAACTCATAGTGACCCCTCCTTGGGTTTCCGAGGTGGTATCCCTAAGAAAGTAGATTGCCCAACCTTCCTTCCAAGGAGTGGTTGGTGGGTTTGAATTGCCAGCCTTCTGGTTAGCAGTCAAGTGCCTTAGGCACTATGCCACCAGAGCTTCTCTCTGTCTCTCTTTCTATTTGTCCACATACTTGTTTCTGTGTCATTTGGAGAATTTGGTTTCTCCACAATGTAGAACCAGAAGGCTGGCAGTTAAAACCCACCAGCCACTCTTCAGAAGGAAGATGGGGCAATCTACTTCCATAGTGATACTGCCTGGGAAGCCCAAGGAGGGGTTGCTTTGCTATAAGTCGGGTCCGACTGGACGGCACGTAACAGCACCAACAACAACAATGTAGAATGTACTTTTCTATAAGTTCTATATTGTATCTCTTCAAAGGAATATTTGATTATTTTTGAGTAACCATTTTTCCTAGTGAATCCTCACCTGATTGTGAGGCTGATAGTGGCAGTTGTTGGTTCCATGGCAATGAGGCTTTCAATGAATTCCTCACCCTGGGTTACCTTGTAGCTCCTTGTAGCCTCGAGATGCATTCCTAAGACCTCAGGAGAGTCATCATCAGGTAAGGATTGGATAATGAATATGCAGTCCTTTATGTGTGCAGATTCTGGCACTGACTGATGTATCTGAAAATTTAACCACTTTGTGAGTTTTTGTTAGTGAGAATCAACTTTCAGTAATGCATGAAGACAATATTTTCCTATGAATACAAAAAGCTTCTTATTTGTAGGCTATATGTTCCAGACAATTCTGTCAAAAGCAACATCTTGGGGCCACTCTAGTAAAAGTAGAGTCACATGATATGCGCATATAACTTTCTCACTGGGAAAAGAATTTAAAGGCTAGAGTGATTCTGGCCACCAGTTGCCACAATGAACTATATCCACAGATAACTAATCCAGTTATCAATCTCATTATCAAGAGAGTTATCAATCTCAAACAAGTCATTTTACTTTGGCAAAACCTATAGAAGGAATGTAAGAATGATCTTAAGAATAACTGATCACAGACAAAAGTTAAGAGCCACTGATAGAAACAACAGTGTCTGCAGAAGAAGCTAAGGTTATGACAGAACAGGAAGAATTGGCAAGTTGGAATCACCATAAAATTGACAGTGTTTAAAAACAACTAAATAGTTGAAAGATATGAATTCAGAATATAATCTCATAGTCTAATTTTACTAACAGAATTGCATACTGTATGTTACAGTACATCTTATTAATTATGCATATTTAATGTAATTTAAAATCCACTTGAAGTTAAAGACAATTAAAACAAGTCCACGAGAGCCAAAATATGATCTTGAATATATCCCTCCTGAATTTAGAGATCATCTAAAGAATAGATTTGATGCATTGAACACCAATGACCGAAAGCCAGATGAATTATGGGAAGATATCAAGAACATTATCCATGAAGAAAGCAAGAGATCACTAAAAAGACAAGAAAAGAAGAGAAGACCAAGGTGGATGACAGAAGAGACTCTGAACCTTGCCCTTGAGTGGAGAATCGCTAAAGCAAATGGAAGAAATGAAAAGGTAAAAGAGCTGAACAGAAGATTTCAAAGAGCAGCTCGAGTAGACAAAGCCAATTACTAGAATGAAATGTGCAAAGACCTGGAGTCTGAAAACCAAAAAGGAAGAACACGCTCAGCATTTCTCAAACTGAAAGAACTGAAGAAAAAATTGAAGCCTCGAGTTGCAATATTGAGAGATTCAATGGGCAAAATATTGAATGATACAGGAAACATCAAGAGAAGATGGCAAGAATACACAGAGTCACTGTACCAAAAAGAACTGATGATCTTCATCCATTTCAGGAAGTGGCATATGATCTAGAACCAATGGTAACGAAGGAAGAAGTCAAAGCTGCAATGAAAGAACAAGGCTCCGGGAATTGATGGCATACCGATTGAGATATTTCAACAAACAGATGCCCCATTGGAGGCACTCACTCAGTTATGCCAAGAGATTTGGAGGACAGCTACCTGGCCAACTGACTGGAAGAGATCCATATTTGTGCCCATTCCAAAGAAAGGTGATCCCACAGAATGTAGAAATTATAGAACAATATCATTAATATCACATGCAAGTAAGATCTTACTGAAGATAATTCAGAAATGTTTGTAGCAGTATATTGACAGAGAACTTCCAGAGGTTCAACCCAGATTCAGAAAAGGACGTGGAACAAGGGATATCATAGCTGTTGTCAGATGGATCTTGGCTCAAGGCAGGGAATACCAGAAAGATGTTTACTTGTGTTTTATTGACTATGCAAAGGCATTTGATTGTGTGGATCATGACAAATTATGGATAACATTGAGAAGAATGGGAATTCCCGAGCACTTGATTGTACTCATGAGGAATCTGTACCTTGACCAGGAGGCTGTCGTTTGAACAGAACAAGGGGACACTACATGGTTTAAAATCAAGAAGGGAGTGCATCAGGGTTGTATCCTTTCTCCACACTTATTTAATCTATATGCTGAGCAAATAATCCGAGAAGCTGGAATATATGAAGAAAAATGTGGTATCAGGATTGGAGGAAGAATCATTAACAACCTGAGATATTCAGATGATACAACTTTGCTTGCTGAAAGTGAGGATGACTTAAGGCACCTACTGATGAAGGTTGAAGAATACAGTCTGCAGGATGGATTACATCTCAACATAAAGAAAACAAAAATCCTCACAACTGGACCAATGAGCAGCATCACAATAAATGGAGAGAAGATTGAGGCTGTCAAGGAATTCACGTTGCTTGGTTCTACCATCGATGCCAACGGAAGCAGCAGTCAGGACATTAGACGACGTGTAGCATTGGGAAAGTCAACTGCGAAGGAACTGTTTCAAGTGCTGAGGAGCAAGGATGTCTCATTGAGGACTAAGGTGCGCCTGACACAAGCCATGATATTTCCAATCGCCTGGTATGCATGTGAGAGCTGGACAGTGAATAAGGAAGACTGAAGAAGAGAAGAGTTGATGCTTTTGAGTTGTGGTGCTGGCAAAGAATGCTGAAAGTACTGTGGACTGCTAAAAGACCTAACAGATCTGTCCTGGAGGAAGTGCAGCCAGAATGCTCCTTGGAAGCAAGAATGGCCAGACTTCGTCTCATCTATTTTGGTCATGTTGTAAGAAGGGACCATTCCCTGGAGAAGGATGTCATGCTTGGTAGGGTGGAGGGTCGACGAAGGAGGGGGAGGCCTTCAAGGAGATGGATTGATACGGTGGCTTTGATGATGGGCTCAAGTATAGCAGGGATTGTGGGGCTGGTGCGGGATCGGGCAGTGTTTCGTTCTGCTGTGCATGGGGTCACTATGAGTTGGAAACGACTCGACGGCACTTAACAACAACAACAACACTTAATGTAACAGTCTGTATACAAAAAACTACTGTATTTTTGGGATTTTTAAAGGTAATTTTCTCTTCAGGGTGGACTGTAGACTCTAATTTAATGAAAATGTTATTTTAAACAGTTTCTTGATGGGAATATTAAAAAACTCAGCTTCTCCTGTCTTAGTAAATAATTTATAAAGTATATAATTTAATGTCTCCTTGTTGACTCAAGACCATCAACCTAGATTGGTACTGTCTATTCTATAGGTGTCTTCCAAATGAATCTCGCTAAAATTTCACTTTTACCATTTTTCTTATCCATCCATACTTTCAAGGCCTACTCCCAACTTATAATGACCTACATGGCATTGGTTTCCTTCTCATCTTCCATTCACCTCCCATTAAAATTCCCACACATCAAAATTTATGTCAAGTCCTACCTACGCATTCTAAAATTAAGAGAAGGTGTTTTATTTTATTTTCTGACAGGTGCACAGCTGCTGGTTCTAACCTGGAGTTTTCTGCTTCACAAAGGTGGAGGTCTGGATGGAGGACAGAAACTGAGGGTGGGTTGGGGGAGAGGGGATAGAATGTGCTGTCCATTGCATTATGTCCCCTGAAATAAGATACGTTGAAGCTCTAACTCCATCCCTGTGAATGTGACCCTGTTTGGAAATATGGTCTTTGAAAATGTTATAAGTTAAGTTAACATGAAGTCATATGGGAGGGAGTAAGGTACATCCTAATTGTATATGACTGATTTCCTCATAAGAGAGAAGGAGATATACAGACAGGAAGCAGAGGAAGTATGTCATATATGCTAAAGCTACAAGCCAAGAACCCTAGAGCTACCACAATCTGGGAGAGAAGCACAGAATAACTTCTCCCTCAAACCTCAAAAACAATCAATAAAAACACTCTGATTCTGGACTTGTAGGTTTCAGAACTATGAGATAATAAATTTTTGCTCTTACATGTGACTTGGTTTGTGGTATTTCATTACAGAAGGCCGGGGAAACTAATCCAGAGGTCAAGAGAAGGTGGACAATTTCATCTTCTTAAGTGCTTGAAATAAGGGTCAATGCTCTTGAATGTACTATGTACTAGTTATATGTGTCTGTACCCTATGAACTTTAGTTTCCTCTTCTGAAAACTGGGAATAACATCTATTTTACATGGTTGTTATGAGCATTAAATGAGAGACATATACATTGACTATCATAGGATAATCGATCGGTATGTGTTAGTTTGCTTCTGCTTTCTTGTGCTTTGTGTCTTATGCAGCTGTATACTGACAGGGAACAGCCAGAAATTCAAGATGGATTTAGAAGAGGATAATATTGCTGATATTAGATGGATATTAGCTGAAAGTAAAGACTATTAGAAAGATGTTTACCTGTGTTTTATTGACTAGGCAAGGACATTAGATTGTGTGGATCATAACAAATTATGGATAACATTGCAAAGAGTAGAAATTCCAGAACATGTCATTATGCTCATACCTGTACATAGACCAAGAGGCAATGGTTCAAACAGAACAAGGGGATGCTACATGGTTTGAAATTAGGAAATGTGTGCATGAGGGGTGTATTGTTTCACCATATTTATTCAATCTGTATACTGAGCAAATATTCTGAGAAACTGGACTATATGAAGAAGACTATGATATCAGGATTGGAGGAAGATTCATTAAGAACCTGTGACATGCGGACAACTCCACCTTGCTTGCTGAAAGTGAAACACTGATGAAGATCAGAGACTACAGCCTGCAGTACAGATTGCACAACATAAAGAAAACAAAAATCCTCACAACTGGATCCATAAGCAAACTTATGTTAAATGGAGAAAAAATTGAAGTTGTCAAAGATTTCATTTTACTCAGATCCATAATGAACGCTCATGGAAGCAGCAGTAAAGAAATCAGATGACAGTGAGCAAATCTACTACAAAAGACTTTTTAAAAGTGTTAAAAAGCAAAGATATTACTTTGAAGACTAAGGTGCTTCTGACCCAAGCCATGGTATTTTCAATAGCTTCATATGCATGTGAGAGCTGGACAGTGAATAAAGATGACCACAGAAAAACTGATGCATTTGAGCTGTGGTTGTGGTGAAGAATACTGAATGTACCATGAATTGTTAGAAGAACAAACAAATCTGTCTTGGAGGAAGTACAGCCATAAAGCTCCTCAGAAGTGAGAATAACCAGACTTTGTCTCTCATATTTTGATCATGTTGTCAGAAGGGAGCAATCTCTGGAGCAGGATATCATGGTTGGTAAAGTTGAAGGTAGGAGCTCTGGTAGCATAGTGCCTAAGGCACTTGACTGCTAACCAGAAGGCTGGAGGTTCAAACCCACCAGCCACTCCTTGGAAGGAAGATGGGGCAATCTACTTCCATAGTGATACTGCCTCGGAAACCCAAGGAGTGGTCGCTATGAGTCGAGGCCAACTCAACGGCACATAAAAACAACAAAGTAGAAAGTCAGTGAAAAAGGGTAAGACCCTCAACGAGATGGATTGACACAATCAGAAGGTATTCAAATCATTGATGTATTGATGGACATGGCAATGATTGTGAGGCTGGCACAAGACTGGGCAATATTTCATTCTGTTGTACATAGGGTCATTATGAGTCGGAACTGACTTGATGGCAACAACAAAAACCGGTTCCTAGAGGGCATGAACCATTTCTCTATCATTCTTTTTATTTACTGCCTGCCACAATGGTATATTTAATAGAGTGATGAGTAAATTACTTTTGTAATAACAAATATTAATACAAGTTATTAGAAATGAACATTAAAATTTATTTAAATACACAGTTTAAACAATGAAAACAATTATTTTAAAAAAGTAATATCATAATTAAGGAAAATAAATTATTATCTTACCTCATCATTTGAGAAACTGAAGTCATCTTTCAGCACTTCAGGATTACAAAATTTGTAGAGAAGGGTCTGTAAGCATTGCTTATCACAGTCGTCAGCCACTCGGCCTCCATAAATCACTTCCCCAATCAGGTAGCGTAATGCCCGCCATGGAATGGCAGAATGTTTGCTCAGGACATTTTCCAACATCTTTATGGCAACCTTTAGAATATCCACTAGTCTTTATTATTTCGGTACATGTTTTCAGTTTACGCTGAAATTTTATAAAACTAACAATTCTCAGGGAGCTCTGGTAGGAGAGTGCCTAAGGCACTTGACAGCTAACCAGAAGGCTGGCAGTTCAAACTGACCAGCCACTCCCCGGAAGGAAGGTTGGGCAATCTACTTCCGTAGTGATAATGCTCGACAGCACATAACAACAACAACAACAGTTTTCAAACAGTTACACATATTTTCTTTGCACAAGTATATAGAAATAATAGAAATAGCAAGAGGACTACAAATATTAGGCTATTCAGTTTTTGTTGTTGTTGTTATTGAACAAACATTGAACTGTTTGATTATTATTATTTTTTGAGTAGACAAAGCAAAACATGGAAATGAATTCAAAAGATAGGAAAGGGTGAAAACAAGGGAAGGTAAGTTTTTCCCCACTGTTCTGGTTACCTAGTGCCACCCTGTCAAGAATATACCACAAACGGGATGGCTTGAACAAACAGGAGTTTATTCTCTTATAGTTTTGGAGGCTGGAAGTCCAAGTTCAAAGTGCCAGGCTCTAGGGGCTGGGTGAAAGCCCCTCAGCCTTGGGCTTCAGCTCTGCCTCCATCTCTTGGCCCACTGAAGCTGGAGCCTTTTCTTCACTCAGACAGCTGCTGGCTGCTGAGACTGACAAGCCCAAGGTTGACAAGTAAAAAGGTACAGTCCCAGTGTTACCAAACCATTGGGAGTCCCAAGCTGAACAACAACATAGCTACATGCAGGGTTCAAGTGTGCCATAAGCTCAAGACTATCCCTAAGGCTTCTCCTTATACACAGGAAGTAGACCACATCCCTAAGGCAGCTACTCAGCTGCTCATAGTAGATTCCACCATGGAGTTGATTACCAGTGTCATCACGGGGAATACTACATTCAGCTGCCCAGCCACTCAACTAGGCCCAGCCAAGATGATTCACAAACTTAACTACCACACCCACCCTACCCTCTGCTATGGTTATCAGATTCTGTCCATGAGGCAATCACCGGTAGCATTATTCAACTCCTCTCTCAGTTTGTTGTATTGTGGTGGCTTGTATGTTTCTATGATGCTGGAAGCTATGTTACTGGTATTTCAAATATTAGCATAGCCACACATCATGGGCAGTTTTCAGTGGAACTTCCAGAGGATGATAAACTAAAACTAAGAAGAAAGGTCTGATGATCTGATTCTGAAAATTAGTCAGTGAAAACCCTTTGGATAATGACAGAATGTTGTTCAGTGTAATGCTGGAAGATGAGTCCTTCAGGTCAGAAGGCATTCAAATACTACTGGGGAAGAACTATCTCCTTATAGTCAACTTTAATGATGCTGATGGAGTAAAGCCTTTGGGGCCTTCATTTGCTGATGCAGCACAACTCAAAATGAGAAGCAACAGTTGTAAGCATCCATTAATATCAGAATGTGAAATGTGCAAAATATGAATCAGGAAAATTGGAAGTCATCAAAAATAAAATGTAATGCTTGGAGATTGATGTCCTAGGTATTAGAGAGCTGAAATGGACTGGTATTGACCACTCTGAATCTGAATCATGTAGTCTACTATGCTGGGAATGACAAATTGAAAAGAAATGGCATGGCATTCACCATCAAAAAGAACATTTCAAAGTCTAGCCTGATATACAACACTGTCAATGATAGATTAATATTCATACACCTACAAAGAATACCAGTTAATACAATTATTATTCAAGTTTACACACCAACCACAAATGGCAAAGATGAAGATACTGAATATTTTTATGCACTGACTGCTGCAGTCTGAAATTGATCAAATGTGCAATGAAGATATGTTAATAATTGTTGGTGATTGGAAAGTGTAAGTTGGAAACAAAGAAGATAGACTAGTAGTTGGTAGTTTGAAAACATGGCTTTGGTGATAGGAACAATGCTGGAGATCACATGATAGAATTCTGCAAGACCAATGAAAACTTTTTACAACAACATAAATACTATTTTTCAGCAACATAAATGATGACTGTACATGTACAATTTTCTAGATGGTTTACACAGGAATCAAGGTGACTATAAGAGCTCTGGTGGCAGAGTGGATAAAGGACTTAACTTCTAACTGGAAGGTCAGTGGTTCAAACTCACCAGCTTCTCCACAGCAGAAAGACTGGGTGATCTACTTCTGTAAAGATTTACACCCTTGAAAACACAATGGGGGCCACTGTGAGTCAGAAACGACTCAATGGCAGTGAGGTTTTTTTTTTTTTTTTTTTTTAATACCTGTGAAAAGAAATGACAGAGAAGCTCAATATTATCAATCAAGACAAAGCCGGGGTGGGTGAAGCAAAGATGGCAAACTAGCTAGACACTCCATGATTTCGATCTATAACAAAGACCTGAGAAACCAAGTGAAACAAATACAGATGGTAATTCTGGAACCCTGAGCTTCAAACAAAAGGAGAAGGAAGTAGATTAAATGCTGAGTGGAAGAAGAAACTGAACAAAGCAGTGAAGGAGGATTTAGATGGAGTGGAAGTGCCTTTCAGCCAGCCTGGCATAGCATGGCTATTTTGAATCATAGGAAAGCAACTTCATGGAATTCCCAATAAGATACATATGCAATATAGACAAAAGAATGAAGCAAGATGAGCAGAACATGAATTAGATATAAGGAAGAGAAGTGCAGGAAAGCGGGCTAAAACTCCAGACACTCAAGTGACCACACAGCAGGGAGGGAGCCAATAAACAGGGATGGAAACACTCACCAGCAGTGGTCCTTGGTCATTTCGGTGGGAGACCCATGTGATGGGGAAGGCTTGTAGAGTGGCAGCTGGAGATGCTTCACTCTAGGCTGCCCCACCTTGCATTGAATCAGGGCAAGAACTAGATAATGCACTCCTGTGCGAGTGCATGGTGATGATGCCAGTGATTGGTGACTGGAGAAGCATTTTCTTTCCTTTTACCCCGCATACCTTCCTGGTGACCAGAGGTGTGGCCCTACCCCACCCACCTACCTGCTGGTTGGTGACACCACCCTCTCAATGTCCTTCCCCACCTGGGTTTGCCTGATTCACTCCTCACCCCTTGAAAGCCCCTTGTCATTTCGCTCCCCTAGCAATTTGAGGCACACTTCTGTGTATCAAGTGCCATATGCCTGCTGCCTCTGAGATCAGTAAGGTGGGCTCTTGTGGGTTATGCACTGTGTTCCTGCAGCCTCTGTGGTCCGTGGCATGCACTCCTGAAGACAAGGTACTGTTCTAATGCCACTTCTGTGGTTAGCAGCATACACTCCCACAGATTGGGTATTGTGCTCCTGCCACCTCTGCAGGTGGTGATGAACTCTTGTGCCCAGTGCTGTTTTTCATTTTTCCAACTTACTTTTTTTTGTTAAGTTTTTCCCTCTCTTTTCCTTCCCTCTTTTCTCCCCCCAAAACAGGAGGGAAACAGCAACCATGTCCATACTACTCAGCTAAGCCCACAACACCTGCCACTTCACTCACTGGCTGACACAACCACTTCACACAATGACTGATATGGCCAACACCGGTTCAGCCTGCCCTCAACTACTCTACATTATCAGTGAACAGAGACTTGCATCCACTACTGAATCCACCCAGAGATGGGTGGTGAATGCCCCAGTGCTTCTAAACTAGTGACCAGAGCAGCATGTCCACTTCACTCACCTAGATATATACATATTATTTAATATAAATTATTATATAAATTATTTTATATAAATAAAATCAGGGTGAAGGAAGCCAACATACAATCAACAAATAAATACAATAACATTACAATGTCTTAGAGACAACAGACAACTTCAAATCACATAAAAACAAAACAAAACAAAACAAAAGAAAAAAACCATGACAAGATGGCCTAAACAAATGAATGACACACAAGGTCAGTAAACTTTCCAGAGGAAGAAACAATAATGGAATTACCTGATAAAGAATTTAAAAGAATTACATTTGAGACCTTTGAACAGATTGAGAAAGAGATCAAGGAAAACAAAAACAAAATTCAAGAAATAATAGACAAAAGCAAGGCAAGGCAAATACAGATAAAACTTCAGAATTATTCAGGAAAACAATGCAAAAACAAAATGACAAAATAAATAGACAATTACAAACTATACAAAAAGAGCAATTAGAAATTCAGAAGATTAATATTAACGTTTCAGAAATAGATAATGCATTGGAAGGACAAAGAAGTAGAACTGAATCAAAGGAAGACAAAACCAGCAAAACTGAAGAAAAATGCCTTCAAACTAATCTATTAGAAATCAATTAGAAGAAAGAATGAAGAAAAGTGAAGAAACCTAAGAATTATGTGGGACACTATCAAGAGGAATAACTTACATGTTATTGGAATCTCAAATCAGAAAAAGACCAAAAAAAAAAAAAAAAACAACAACAACAACAAAAAAACCAAACCAAACAACAACAACAAAACCCCCCAA